ATATCTGAACAATCCGTTGTATGGGAGCTATAGGTTATAGTGACCCGATCTTTGTAATTTTCACTATAAGTATTCTGTTGATAATGGGTGCAAGTATTGCAAAATTTCATGTTCGTAGCTGCATAAATGGCGAAGTTATAATGAAAAATCTCATATCTGAACAATCAGTTGTATGGGAGCTATATGTTATAGTGGTCCGATTCTTCCGGTTCCGACAAATGATTAATCTATACATATAATAAAATTGTAACAGGTCGATGTCTGTACATTATAGATATTAAAGAAAAATTAATGTGGGGGGTCTTTTTTAAAGCACCAGAAGCCAAATCAACCATTTTTAGAATTTTTGTCTGTCTGTCTGTCTGTCTGTCTGTCTGTCTGTCTGTCTGTCTGTCTGTATGTTTGTTCGCGCATCACTCGAAAACGAATGCATGGATTTGAATGCAGTTTTCACCGATGCATTGCTAGAGGTCTAACTTAAAATTTAGGAAGAAAAAAAATTAGAGAGTTGCCACCTGTTTGAAAATTGGAGTTTAAGTAAATTGATAAGAAAAAATTAATATTGCAATATGGGCGTCAAAAGAAAGAGAATGAAGAAGGCTTACAGCCAAAAATATTTTTTTAGAGTTGCCACCTGTTTAAAAATTTACATTAAATTTAATTTATAAGATAAGTTGAATATTGCAATATGGGTATCAAACTGAAAGGGTTTAGGAAATTATATTGCCGAAAATATTTTTAGGGGGGGCTGCCACCTGTTTGAAAAATTGTATTGTATTAAATTGATAAAATAAATGAAATCTATATCTACATCTATAAATCTATACATATAATAAAATTGTAACAGGTCGATGTCTGTACATTATAGATATTAAAGAAAAATTAATGTGGAGGGGTCTTTATTAGAGCACCAGAAGCCAAATCAACCATTTTTAGATTTTTTGTCTGTCTGTCTATTTGTCTGTCTGTATGTTTGTTCGCGCATCACTCGAAAACGAATGCATGGATTTGAATGCAGTTTTCACCGATGTATTGCTAGAGGTCTAACTTAAAATATAGGAAAAAAAAATTAGAGAGTTGAGACCTGTTTGAAAATCGGAGTTTAAGTAAATTGATAAGAAAAAATGAATATTGCAATATGGGCGTCAAAAGAACGAAGCTGAAGAAGGCTTACAGCCAAAAATATTTTTTAGAGTTGCCACCTGTTTGAAAATTTACATTTAATTTAATTTATGAGATAAATTGAATATTGCAATATGGGTATCAAACTGAAGGGGTTTAGGAGATTTTATTGCCGAAAATGGTTTTAGGGAGGGCTGCCACCTGTTTGAAAAATTTTATTGTATTAAATTGATAAAATAAATGAAATCTATATCTACATCTAGATATACATATAATAAAATTGTAACAGGTCGATGTCTGTACCTTATAGATATTAAAGAAAAATTAATATGGTGGGTTTTTATTAAAGCCACAGAAGCCAAATAAACAATTCTTAGAATTTTTGAATATCTGTCTGTCTGTATATTTGTACGCGCATCAGTCGAAAACATGGAATTGAATGCAGTTTTCACCGTTGTATCGCTAGAGATTTAGCTTCCAATATAGAAGAAAAAATTAGAGAGTTGCCACCTGTGTTTAAAATTTCGGTTTAGGTCAATTGATACGGTAATGTGAATACTGCAATATGGCTGTTAAATGAAAGAAATTTACAAAGGCCTACAGCTGAAAATATGTTTGTGGAAGGTTGCCACCTATTTGAAAACTTTAATTTAATATAATTGATAGCATAAATTAAATATTGCAATATTGGCATCAAACTAAAGACGATAGGAAATTTTAATCCTGAAAATATTTTTAGGGGATTTGCCAACTGATTGAAAGATTGTATTCATTGAAATTTGTAAAATAAATGAAATATTGCAATACGAATATTAAACTAAAGAGGATTAGGAAGCTTACTTTTGAAAATATTCTTGAAGCGGGTTGCCACTTATTTGAAAACTTTAATTCAGTTAAATTTACTATATAAACTAAGTGTTGCCATATGGGTATCAAACGAGAGTACTTGAGAATAATAAAATTGCAACAGGCCGATATCTGTACATAATAGATGTTAAAGAAAAATTAATAGGGGGTTTATTAGATCAACAGAAGCCAAATCTAAAATTTCGGTATGTTTGTCTGTATGTTTGCAAGCGCATCACGCAAAAGCTAATGTATGGAATTAAATGCAGTTTTGCTAGAGCTCTAATTGAAAATATAGAATCCATTTTTTTTTTTTGTTTTAGTTTATCGTCGATCATTATTCCTAGGTATTTGAACGTATTAACTTTTTCCAGTGCGTCGTTGTTTATATTTAGAGTTAGCAACGCACCGTTCTCAAAATTTCGCCTTGATATAACCACAAACTTAATTTTTTTTTATTTCTGTTTGGAAGGGTTTTCGCTAAAAAAAATTTTAACTTTTCGTTGTTGCTGCCAAAAAAATTAAGAAATCTGAGACGTCACGTTTTACAATTTCATACAGTTCTCTTTACAATGCATTTCACTAAACTACTAAACGGCTGCATCGACTTGGTTCATATTTGGCAACACGTTGAAAATAAATATTCTGACCAAAAATTTACTCGGTATTTAGCTCGGGATATTCCTAAAATTCTTATACAGACTAAAACGTAAAAAACCAATATATCACTAAAACCAATTACGCTGGGGAACTGAAACTTAGCACTGATGCATATATTGCAAATGCATTGGGAAAGGGGGCGTGGCTCCTTCCTTCCATGCAAACTGAACTGCTCATATAGCTTATGTCTGGAACTGCTTACGCTAACGTCCTGAAATTCTACACAGCTACATATGTTATCAATACCGTAGTTATGGCGAAAAGTGATAATTATTGGAAAGGCTGGATCGATATACATTTACGTAAACGCGCAAGTATCACTCGATTGGGAACCATTTTCTCCTAGATTTATAAATCCCATTGAACTATTCTAGCTTTGTCTTTAATTTTCAGTAAGGTAAAATTTTTGTGAAAATTTTGAAGAATTTTTTTTAAGTTTTTCACAAAGAATGGAGCTTTGCTTTTACGAGTTTCGCTATAAACTGTCCTATCTACATACCTATTTGCATAAAATGATAGCCGTTTTCGTTGTTCGGAATAAACTCAAAAAACACTGAATAGAGTTCCGTCAGATTGTCGGAGGTTATCTTACATACATATATGGTCCAATTACATGCTACTATAAAACTCGCTAGGTGGTGCTGGAGTAGAGTTATTTATAAAAATCGTATTTATTAACCGATTTCGTTCAAATTTTAAATGTGAGCTATGTACCTGTATGATAGAAAATTCTTTTGATACAAATTTACCCGATTAGTGCCGCTGGAGTTAAGGTAGAAATTCATAACACGTATTCATTTTATGGTAAGCAATGGTTTTGCAGAAAATAAGCCCAATGGATGGCGCTGCAGCCGAAATGTATAGAAACCCCGTGTGGTTGGTCTGCTTTGGACCTATGTTTAAGTTATACGAATTTAGTTTTCAAATGTTTAAATGAAGCATGGGGTTAAGTTTTTCTGACGCCCTCATGCACGATCATGCGGTCTTGCATCTACCCTGAAATCAGTTCATAAATTTTACCACGAATTGTAAAAGTGGTGAATTAACAAGGAAAGATCACCGTAGGTATATCAACTGCTTCATTTGAAAGATACTTAAGAGATCACACTACTCATTTAGCAATGTACCGGAAAACTTTTCATCCTATGGGACAGCGAGGATTCTTGGCCTTCCTATAAAGAAAATGCACTTCTGTGCTCTTGAGTTTCCCTATAAGAACTTTTATTGGCATACGTAAGATCATACAAAAAGATTACGCATGATTGGCAGAGATCTCACAGGTGAAAATAAGACCATCAGTAAAGCTCATGACACCAAAAGGGATTGGTATTCCATATGGTATCACAGCGTTACTACTATTTGCCTATGTGTGAGGAGGATACTGCGCCTTAGTGGTTTCAACTTAAATCAAAAACTTTGACTTTACAGACTAATTTTGTTTTTAAAC